ACACTCATTGTAAGATATACCTTCTGTGTTAAAAAGGCCGTACCTGTCTAGTATCCTAAAGATATTTTAATAATAAGTAGTTTTCTTTGAATTAAATGTTATATATTCTTTGTATTTATTAATGTCCTGAAGATTGTATTTGAACAAAATGTTATTCAATTCTTATAATTTGTACCCCTAATACTATTATTAAAATAACTGCTTGCAATATATGTTTTTTTTTCGAGGATTTTCAAATGTTAAGGTAATTTTCTTTGAATTAAGTGTCTCATTTATTTTTTAATAACTTTTACACCTGATACTAAACAATTATTAAAATACTTGCAATGTTTGTTAAATATTTTTGTATTCTGTAGCATCTTGCAAGATTTTCAAATAAAAGAAATAGTTCAAATAAGTACCTAGTTTTGTTTTCTTCATTGGTCCCCAGCCTAAACTTAAATTTGCCTTTATTTCCAAGATTAAGTTTTGATAGGTATAATTTAATAAATATTTCACTCGGTAAGCATCTGGTATTCATTTGTGATCAGGAGATAACAATGGTTGTAATTCTATAGCAAAAATGGTTTACTCTACAGGAAAGAATCGAAATAATTATCCTTTATGAAGAGGTTGGAAAATGCGCACGAACGGCAGCATTTAAATGAAAGGCATCCTAATTGTAATGTAAGTCATATGTATACTCTCGATTTGGTAGCAAAATTTTTGGAAACTGGTTCGGTGAAAAATAGGAAAAGAACCGACGAGTACTAAATGAAGAAGCTCTAATTGAGGTTTTGGGAACATTTGTTACCGTGTCAACTAGCTCCATACGAATAGTAGCAGAACAGATGGGAATATCACGCGAGACTGTAAGAAGAGCACTGAAAATGTATAAATTTCATTTCTATAAAAGAACTCTACGAAGATGATTTTGATAAAAGAATAGAGTTTTGTAAAACCATGTCTGATCAAGTCAACGCCAACCCCAATCTTCTGCTGAATATCTGTTTCAGTGGTGACATTTTATTTTATATTTTTTTCTAAATGACAATGTTAATAAACACAAATGTTGGTACTGGAGCGATGAACACCAGGTATATTATTCAAGAAGGGCATACGCAATTATTGGTTCTTTATTTAATGAAGGAAACTTGCCAGGCGATCTGTCCCTTAATATGCTTGCAGAGATTATTGATCCTCTTATAAACTCAGGAGCTAGAAACAAACTGATGCAGAAGGTAATTTAGTTTTACAGGAGAAGTGTTACATTTCCAGCAGGATGCTGCTACACCTCATTTTTTCTTCTCGTCTGACAGAGATTTACAGGCCCTTGGATTAGCAGAAGGGGAGCAATTGAATGGCCCCCAAGATCACCTGATTTAACTCCTTTAGAATTTTTTCTTTGGGGACACCTTAAATTCGTTGTTTATGAAACACAACCTGCTGACATTGATGATCTTAAAAGGAGAATTACACAAGCATGCCGGTCAATTTCCGGTAAAAGTTTTCCGAAATGTTAGAGAGGAGTTGGGAAACAGACTTTTTACTGTTTACAGTACAATGGACAACATTTTGAAAAGTGTTTAAAATAGTGTACAAGTAGATCTTATGTGTTCTATTTTTAAAATTTCTTGTGCAAATTAAAAGTTATTTATTTTGTAAAAGTCACCTTACCAAAAAAATAAAAAGTTAAACATGTAGACTTAATATTCCTCCTGTTATTTAACTCGATAGAATAATTTTTGTTTAATAAATAACTAATAAATTAGGGTACCATTGGGAAGAGAATTAAACGCCCTTTAAAATGATGTGCCTCTTGACCCCTTTTCCCATTTAAGATTTAAGGATAACAACTACCCCTCCTAGGAGGTTGAGCCACGAGTGTTAAAAGTATTTATTGTAGGTGTCCTCCTTGAAAATAAAATTGACGGGTTTTTGCGATTTTTCACATTATTTAATGGAAGAAAGATATTTAATTTGGGAAGTTTTCGGTGTCACCCTGTATGTATATCACTTGTTACATAAACACTCATAAAGAAAAAAATTAATACAAAAATTTAAATAGTACCTGACCTGAAGGGTCTTTTAATTGAAGACTACTCGTTAGATGAATTTATAAATAATTTTTAATATTTCAACCATTTTTTACGTACCTATATGTGAGCATTGTATTTCGTTTATCTATGATGTGATGAATGTTTTTTTGAATGCTTATGTTGTATTCAGCTAACCTTATGAAATTTAGGACCGATTCCACCGTTGTGTTAAACGAAGTTTAAAATGACATTTTTACATTAACAATGTCATTTTAATATCCGTTTAACACAACGGTGGAATCGATCCTTAGTTAGTTATTAATATAAAACTAATTTTGTAACATGTCTCATGTCATCGAAAGATAATCTAAAGAGAATATATAATATAAATTTATGTATAGTTGCCCCTTAACGCCAACGCAAATAATTAGACGTCCCTCGCCGCACTAGCTATACTTAAATTATCTCAACTAATACACAATCTTGTTTAATTATGTATTCCTCTTATTAAAAAAGTATTCGTAATTTACATTTAATTATATGTATATTTTTATTGAATTAATAAAAAAACTGAGTACAATCCTGGAAACACTCAACTGCGCAGACTCTCCGCCTCCCCGGCAGGTTCTCCTTAGGCGAGTTCGGTCAGTCAGGGGCTGGGGCCCAATTCCTGACGCCTTCGTTAACTTATCGCATGCGATAACGTATGCGACTTGATGAAAGTGTATTCCTGAACTGGCGGCATTCGTCAAATTTATTAAAGTATGCGCTAAGAAATGATGATTTTCAAAGAGCGCTCATGACCGTTCGACAACTACTTTGTCGCATTCGTTTAGGTGAAAGTAAGGTTATAATTGTCAATTAATCCTGCTTTATCATATGTGATTCGTGTTTCTATCTATTGGCTTTGTTTTGTGATTTATTATTGGGAAATATTTATTTTTAATTTGACTCTATTGAACATTTTATTAGAATATAAAAATGAAACTTTTTGTACCGTGAACTCTTTTATTGGACGTTTAGGTGCCACTTTATTTTGGTTTATTTTATTTAGTATGGATGATATAGAAGAAATATGAGTTTTACAGGCACTAAACAATGTTATAAATTCTACTAAAGTTTCACGCAATTTTTCCGTTATTCGTGAACCACGCTGTTCCATTTTTAATATTCTAAATCTAAACCACTCCAATTCTCAAGTCCAAAATACAAATAATCACAGTTAAAACGTCTAAAAACCAAAAATTATTAGACATCCAATCCATTTAATTTTATAATTTTTGGCAATTTTGACATGTGTCAATGCAATTATCTCATATTCAGTGATACCATCTTTGGTATTCTCAATCCTCATTGGTTAAGACTATGCAATAATCAAAGACTCTTCGTTAACACGTTCGACTTGATTCGCGATTATCGCATGGTGTTCAGGAATACTAAATTGCTGTCGTATGCGTTAACGACCATGCGTTACTTAGCGCATGCGGCAGTTAACGCATGTTTCGAGAATTGGGCCCCTGGAGCGGGACAAATTTTAGGGTGCTTTTAAATGACATTTAAGCGTGTTAAACTGTCACTAATCGGACTTAACCTAACGGTAAAAGGGTCGTTTGGAGTTAAAAGTGTTAAAGGAGTTAAAGGAACTTGGCAGACCGAACGCAATGCTTGTGTAAACGTTTTCTGAAATGACAGTTCCTATCTCCCCTCCTCCCATATCTATGGTAGAACAGAAGTTAAAAGTTGTAAATAGTGTTGTGAATATCCGTATCTTTTTAGTATTCGGATAATACGTATTCGGAACCAAGAGATATTCGGATTCATCATCCGGACACGTATCCATATGTGTGAAATCATAATACGCAACCGTAAATACACCGCGACCTTGGGAATCGGAATCGGGCAGTGTTGTCAACCCTAGCAGAATTTATGTTTGAGAGTGAAGTAACAGGAGCTTTTAATGTTTTAGAATAATAAACACAAAATAAATCTCAAATATTTTGTTTTTTATCATAATATCAGAAACAAAATTTCTCATTTATATTTATATAACTTCATGTTACCTTTAAAATATGCAGTGCATGCCGACTAACCGATTATGAATTGCAACAACGCTAGACGATTCCGAATTCTGATTTCGTATCCATAGTTCGTATCGGCTGCCACCCGCAAAACCCGAATCGGGTCTGTCATAACAGAACTTGCAGCATTCGATTCGTGTATTACGATTTTGTTTCTGTTCTTTTTGATACCGAATTCGTATTCGAATTTACACTATTGATTCCGGAATATCCGGATCCTTTTAATATTCGGATTCAACGGATTTTTGGATACGTATTCTTACATCACTAGTTGTAAATGCTTTTGCCAGTTCTCCCACTTTATACACATAAATTGACAGGTTGTCAGCGGATCTCACCGAAGTGGACACGATACATTGGCGTACACAATTATTTATAGATGTTAATAACAATTTCGAGTAAATAGTTTAATAAATTGTGAATAGCTGTTGAAATTTTGTAAAATTATAATTTGAATATTATAATACATGTTTAATAATTATTTATAATCCATAAATACATGCGATTGTCCGGTTCCGCCGATAACAATTTAAAATTACTTATTCTATGAAACGACACTGGCAGGTAAACATTACTGTGAAATTCTCGGAGCCGCCCGACGTGGTTTGACGTTTACCCCCTCTCTACCTACCAAAAGACTTTTCAACTTTTACTTTCTCTATATCCTGATGCATCCGATGTGGATTCTCAAACGCGGCATAAAAAGAGTGAACTCTGTCTATGACGTCACGCACTCTGTGCGATCCGTCGAGTTCCAAACCGAACTTACCCTTAGAAGTTTATACTTTTTAAAATTGACTTTTGAGACTACAAATCAACCTAAATTTGAAATCTAAATAAAAATTAAAAAAACTAATGGTGGCGCTGAAAATTCTATCATCCTTTTTTAACATGGGAGATACCGTTCTAAGAGTAAGTGTTCTGTGTTTTATGTGTGGTTTGTCAGTCAAAAGCAAAACAGTAAAAAATTGAATTTTTAATTTTTAAAGATTAGTTACTTTAATTTTAAAATTATTGCAATAGAGACATTTCTAGTGAAGATTTTTAGATCTAACTTACTAATTAATGGATCTAATATTTATAAATGCAAATTAGAAAAGATTGAATGAACTTGTAGATTTCTAGAACACTGTACCAAGTCCAGGTAATTATCAATGAATATGTTACAATAATAAACATTGTTTTCATATTACACATATAAACATTATTTAGTAGGAATAAGTGCAGTTTCTTTTTTAGATCAAGTATGGATGATGTGCCAAATGCAGACATATGTAGAGTTTGTAGGTCAGAGGGTTTGTCTGACAGACCCCTTTTTCATCCTTGCATTTGTACAGGAAGTATTAAATGGATACATCAGGAATGTCTAATGCAATGGATGCGTTATTCCAGAAAAGAATACTGTGAGCTATGTGGTCATAGATTTTCATTCACTCCTATTTACTCTCCTGATATGCCACGAAGATTGCCAGTAAAAGATTTAGCAGCTGGTTTGTTATCTTCAATTGCTACAGCTGTAAAATATTGGTTTCATTATACTTTAGTTGGTACAGCTTGGTTGGGAATTGTACCTTTAACAGCATGTAGGATATACAGGTAAATCCAGGGTTGAAAAAAAACCTACGAATTCAAAAATATGTAGGTAGGTTTTTAGGATATTTAGGTTTTTTAAAGTTTTGTAAGGTTTTTAGTTCTTAATATGTCAAAAATAGTCACTATCATTAATATCAATATCAAGAAGAAGTGATTAGGTATAACCTTTGATGAAATGTTTGCATTTGTTTTTATATACTCATTTTTGTACCCTTTGTCCTCCCGATAGTTGATAAGTAAAATTGTGAATTCTTAATATTTATCTTAAATAACATAAAAAACTTAAAATTGCAGATTTTTCAGTATTAGGTTTTTTTTAAAAAACCTAGGTCCAAAAAAACCTGTACCTACCAACCATGGATAATAATAATACATCTTTATTAAAACAAATGCATACATACATTTGCACCAGGAAGTCAAAAACTATACAGCTACTCCTAACCCTTAACCTTCCTAGTTGACATAATAGCATACTATTTACATTATATTTACATAGTAATAACATAATGATCTGTAGACTAATAGTATTAACAACAAATAGACACGAAAAAAATAAAAACAATAGTATATAAATAATTACAAAGAACAAGAATTGAAATATAGAAGAAGAAAAAATATAATGAGAAATACAAACAAAAACAGGTTATTGCTTAGCCAAAAAATACTTTTTAATCTCACATCTAAAGATATGCAATTATACATTCCAATTTAGAAAATAAAACTGATTATACATTTTAACTGCATTATAACCTCTTTCAAACTTTGTTGTCGAATGATGAGGCATTGTACCTAAGCATATTTGGTCTAATATTAACATTATGAACAGATGTTCTGAAAATTAATTTCTGAAACAAATAGACAGGGTTCCTTGTCTTTATTAGTACCTATGTTCAAAAATATTAAAGATTTAGTTGATATAGATTGTCTACTTCTATCCATTTCAGCTGAGCAAAATAAATTGAGATATATTTCCTCAAACCAAAAATAAATCTGCAACAAGCATTTTGTATAAGCTGTAATTGGCTCTATGACAATTTGTCCAGACAAGGATAGTAAACAATATTGCAATAACTTAATATTGATAAAACTAAATATTCACAAAGTTTTTTTCTCATGCCTATTAATGTAAAGCAATGGCAATCTTGAGACCGGTGTGAAGTTTGCTGTAACTTTTAGCAGTAAAAATAACCGAAAGCACCCGATTGGGTAAACAGTGGCGTACGGCATACAATTATTTTAATAATCTTGTCAACATTAATATCGACAAATAATTAATATATGGTTCAACATAACCCTTAAAATTGATAAAAATATTTATCCTACCTATGAAGAAAATCAGATCCCAATTTTTACATTTTAATATTTTAATATATCTAGACTGTTTGGCACTAACCAAGGAACCACAATTAATTGAAAGTAGAGGTAGAATTATCGATTATGATACTATTAATGAAAAATTATCTAAAGTTGAATGGAATTATAGATTACGGATTAATGCCAAATATAAGGATTTTTATGAAAAAGTAATGAGGGTTTTAAATGAGGTGGCACCAAAGAGAACTATTAAGATTTTTCCAAAATTTAGAGTTTGGTGGAATGACACAGTGCACACAGCAACTATAGATAGGGATAAGGCTTACAAAAATTATGTATTAAACAAAACAGAACAAAATAAAGAATTATATAAACAGAAACGTAATATGGCTGTTAAAACTATTAGAAATGAAAAGAGAAAATATTATGACTCTCAAATTATGGAAAATAAAAATAATTCTGTTAAATTATGGAATGTAATGAAGGAACTGTTACCCAAAAACTATAAACAAAATGATCTTGTAGAAATTGAAATAAATGAAAATTTAATTATAAAAGACATAATTGAAATGCCAGATGCACTTAACACATATTACATTGATAGTATAATTGACTTAGTATCTAATATAAATCAGAACGTTAATGATTTTCCCATTATTGTTAAAAATGATAATGTAAGTCTTAAAAAGTTTAATCTTGTTAGTTTTGATACTTTAAAAGAAATTGTTTTTGATATGTCGAATAAAGGAAGTCCTGATGAAATTAATGTACTGTTTTTAAAATACTGTTTCGAAAATATTGCTAAGCCATTGATAAATATAATAAATTCCTCGTTAGAGACTAATACTGTTCCAGACGATCTAAAAATTTCAATAATAACACCAATAGCTAAGGTTGAGAATTCAAATAGGGCAGTGGACTTACGTCCTATTAATATGTTATGTACAGTAGAAAAAATTTTAGAGAAAGTAGTATATAATCAACTTATTGAATATTTGGAAGAAAATAATATGTTTAATAGTAATCAATCAGGATTTCGGGGTAAACACAGCTGCGAGACTGCACTACAATATGTATTAAATGACTGGAAACAGAATCTTGACAACAAGTTAATTACAGGTGCTCTTTTTTTAGACCTACAAAGAGCATTTGAAACGGTAAATCGATCTCTACTGATTAAAAAGTTAAAAAGTTTTGGTATTATTGAAAATTCACTAGAATGGCTTATAAATTACCTGGACAATAGAAAACAAAAATTAAGGTTTAAAAACATTTTATCAAAAGAACAAAAAAATGAATTAGGCGTACCACAGGGGAGTGTATTGGGCCCACTATTGTTCCTTCTATATATTGATGATATTTCTCAAGTTGCAGGTGGTTGCTCCATACATATGTTTGCAGATGATACTCTGCTGTATTATTCTGCTAATAATTTGCAGGAAGTAACCGCTACTATAAATACCACATTAAAGCAAATATATTATTGGTGTTGTTTTAATTCGTTAAAAGTAAATATTAACAAAACTAAATTTATGATTATCGGGAATGTTAGGTATTACAATGAATTTACTGAAAATAATATGAAAATTAGTATTGAAAATGATGTCATTGAAGTCGTAAAAAAAATTAAATATCTGGGAGTAATAGTAGACCATATGTTGTTTTTTAAAGATCATGCAAACTATATCATTAAAACAGTAGCGTTTAAAGTCAACTACTTATACCGGTGCTCAAAATACATTAATAAATGGTCATTGATTCTTTTATATAACAGTATAGTTTTGCCTCATTTCACTTATTGTGCCACCATTATGTATTTACTTAATCAGAATGAAACCAACAGACTTCAGAAATTACAAAATAGAGCAATGAGGATATTATTGTCATGTGATAGAAGGACCAATATATTAGGTATGTTACAAAATTTGAAATGGCTTTCTGTTAAAAACTATTTTCTGTACTTAACTTTAATATTCATTTATAAAATTAAACATGGACTGGTCCCCTCTTATTTACTTGATAAAATCAATTACAACTTTGACTATCATAACTATAACACAAGAAATAGATCTAATTTTCATATTCCACAAGTTGCACGTAAACAGTCCCAAAATTCAATATTTTTTAAGGGACTTCAAGCTTTTAATGAGATACCCTTAGAACTCCGAAATGTCGCCTCATTTAATACCTTTAAATATAAACTAAGAGATTATATGTTAACGAGCCAGCATCTGTGATATTTTAGTGTTATATTTTAGATATAGATAAATATTTTTTGTAATTTTATTTATTTGTAATGTACTATTAGCTTTGCTAAATAAACGATATATATATATATATATATATATATATATATATATATATATATATATATATATATATATATATATATATTTAAAAAACATAAATACAGGTATAGGTAACATTTCTTCGGGTCCGTTGAACAGGGTAAAATTCCCCCATAAATTCATAAAATAATTATCCTTTGAAGTGTTTAATATTTAAAAAATTAATACTAGACTTACTTACATACAGTTTAAGGAAAAATCTCTTCGGACCTAGTCAGACAGAGCAAAATAAACCATTAAAAATTTAAAAAATAATTAACCTATGAATGCGATACATTTTCTACTTACTTTTACCTTAAAAAAATAATAAATGAACTAAATAAAGGATGAAAGCAAAAATCCCTTCGGACTCGTCTAACAAGGTGAAATTAACTTTTAAAATTAAAAATAGATACTTAACCTAATATGAGTAATGAGTATCAAATTTAATCTTAATCTTTCATTCATAAAATAAAAAATATACTAACATAAACGGTAAAAAAAATCCCTTCCAGTTCGTCAAACAGGGTGACACTTATAATTAAAAATAAATATTTACCCCATGAAGTGAAAATCCCTTCGAACCAAATTTCTTTTACATCAAACAAATAAATTTAATATTACACACTGTAAGCCAATATCCCGTTGGACCCGTCGAAGAGGGCGAAATTAACCCTTAAAAACCCCAAAAAATAATTATTCTATGAAGCTGATCAAATTCATACTTACTCTGTTGGACCTGTCGAAGAGGGCGAAATTAACCCTTAAAACTCCCAAAAAATAATTATCCAATGAAGCCGTTCAAATTCATACGTGCTCTTGCATTCAAAAAATCATAAATGCATTCACCAAAGTACATTATCAACTAAAGTTCCTTCAGACCAGTCAAACAGGGTGAAATTACCCCTTAAACTTCAAAATAAATAATAACCCAATGAAGACGATCAGATCCCAACTTGATTTTACATAAAAAAAAACATAAATTCACTCATCAAAGTACACTGTAAGCTAAAATCCCTTTCGACCCGTCAAACAGGGTGAAGTTAAGCCTTAAACTTCAAAATAAATAATTACCCTATGAAGACGATTAAATCCCAACTTGATTTTACATTCAAAAAAACATAAATTCACTCATCAAAGTACACTGTAAGCAAAAATCCCTTCCGACCCGGCAAACAGGGTGAAATTAACCCTTAAACTTCAAAATAAATAACCCAATAAAGATCAGATCCCAACTTAATTTTACATTAAAAAAAGCATAAATACACTCATCAAAGTACACTTTAAGCGAAAATCCTTTCCGATCCGTCAAACAGGGTGAAATTAACCCTTAAACTTCAAAATAAATAGTAACCCAATGAA